CCCTCCCTCCCTCCCTCCGTCCGTCCGTCCGTCCGTCCGTCCGTCCGTCCATCCATCCATCTACATTCCCCAATCTCTTCCTCCTTCCCTCCCTTCCTCACTATTTTCCTTCTTTTCTTCCCTGCTTCCATCATTTCTTAGAACCTTCGTTGGTTGCTTTCTTCAATTTGTTTGTATGTTTCTTCCTATAATCTTTTCCATTCCTTTCCTTTTCTTACTCTTCACTGTGCAGTTTATCCATTGGTGCACTGCTTTGCTGATTTAATCCAATAAGTTCTCATAATTCACTTGCTTTGCATTGTCCTGTTTCCTTGGTTTATGGTTGATTAATGTTTTGTCTGTCAGGAATTTGAAATCGGCGATGCCTTCACAACAGGGTCATACTCGGTAGATCTGCTGACTGGTAACGAAGAAAGACGATTCGAAATTCTAGAAGCGGGGTACAGTTCCCCCGCAGCACCTGTTACCCCTGCCCCACCCACTTTTGTGCTGAATGGAGAGACAATCATATTGTGTGCTAATGCCACAAATGACACCATCAAGCCCATACCTACCGTTGGTCCAGGTATTGGCGACCTTAAAATTTTCAAAATCTACGACTGCGACGTCACCCGGAAGTGTAAATAACCTCGCTTTAAAATTTCGCTCATTCAAAGTATGTCGTCCCTGTGGATGAGTTGACCTTACTGACAATGTTTTGAATCCCAAATGAACAAAACCCCAAAAGAAAATATTTACACTTCCGGTTCACGTCAACGTCGTAGATTTTGCGAATCTTAAGCTCGCTATTAATAAATGGATATGTATCGATTAACAGTATTCGCTTGGCGGAAAAGGACAGTCATTCATCTTTAATGAAGAGGAGCAGATATAGATACGAAGATTTAAAGCGAACAAATGTCCTTAGAAAGGGGGAATCAGACGGACAGACAGACAGGCAGGCAGGTACGCAGACTGGCAGACGGACGGACAGACGGATGGATAAGCAGAAATACCTATAGCTTTGAACAAATTAGCTACAACGTGGACAGGCAGTTTTGAGATAGATAGGTCAAGTATGTTAAGGGATGTCGCAGGAACTTCTTAGATTATTAACCGTCTTATTTGTGACTAAAAGAACAAGGATGACTAATAAACATGCTTTTGTTAGGTTCAGAGACGTTCTCAATATCAACGGCTGTCGGTAAGATGGTACTAAAGGCTGGACTCGATTACGAGGCAACGAAGGAGTATCTGTTAACCATGAGTGTCACTGATAATGGCGCTGGTGTTAGTGGTGAAATAGTGATGAAGGTGAGTGTCATGATCAATGTTAGCTTCTTCATCATCATGGCAACATCGACATCACATTATACCACAGTCAATGTTTCTTCCGTCTTTATCACTATCACCATTACTTCCGTCATGAATCATCACAATCATCGATGTTGATTTAGGGTTTTGGGAGAAATGCAATTGTGACTTTTATTTTAAAATAACAATAGGCTTATTTAACGAAAGATTGTTTGTTTTTTCCCTGTTAACCTGCAGATTTATGTGGAGGATTATAACGACCACTGCCCTATCTTACCCAGTGTCTCGTACGACCTTTATCCCATACCACCACTGAGGAATGAGTCTTTCTTTACTGTAAAGGCAACAGACAAAGATAGTGGTGTTAATGGCCAAATTACCTACACAAGAAGTCAGATGATCTCGGCTGTGTAAGTATTAAATATCGATGGATATCGCAAGGCAGGTTGTAGACTGACTGCCATCACTACCCCTGGAAGGGGAGTTGATGTATTTCGTAAGGATATGGATTGTGTTAGGGCATTAGGAAGGGAATTACTATTTAAGAAGTACTGCATGTCTAGAAGGTAATCTGCAGCCATCAACGCTGCAGTCCACTTTACCCTGCTTGCAGTCTTTTTCTGTCTTCAGGTCTTTTTTCTACCCTCCGTACGTTCGGGCTTAAATGTTTAATCTTGTTCCTCGCAACATAGAACATTGAAAAGCTCAGTGCCTTAATTGGCTGATTTTTTTCTTCGCGCAATATGATTGGTCTGACAGTGCCGTGTCCTTGGCTTGACCGTGTCCACCGGTACACTGGTATGAATATAACAGAAGGCATTTAGAATGTATTTAAAGGGAAGAACCAACGTTTGCTTTAATTTTCCTCTAAGGAAAAAAAACATTGGGGATCGAGGGAGGAGAGGTAGGGCTCTATCAGAACAATAGAGAACCTATATAGTGCTTGATCTACCATTAGTATAAGGGAGAGTGGACAGGGAAATGGTAATGGTAATGTTTTAATTGATAATTTCGTTGTCTCTTTAGACCTACCATCATAGCCAAGATGTATTATGTCCAGAACGGTACAGCCACAGTCTGGTCCAACACTACAGTTGAATGGAAGCGCATGTATTATATCTTTGCTGTAGACAATGGCACACCCAAGCGAGGCGACAGGATACCCATGACCATTAAATTCAATGCCACCTGTCAGGAATTTGCTGATATAACTGTAAATCCATCCTCTGGTGAAGTGTTCTTCAGAGCACCTGGCATGACAGTATCTGAATATCGTAAGTAATAAGAAGACTAGGGACTTGGGGTAGGGCGGAGAAACCAGGGAATAAAAGGGGTAGGGTAGAGTAGCATAGGGTGGTTAGATTTCTGATATAAATATAAACCCGTCCATAGGTGAAGTGTCATTAAGAGCCCTGAGGTGCCATCATTATTTCTTTTCCTTTTTCCTCTTTCATTTTCAGCTAAGAATTCAACAATCAAACCCATGTGTCGTCGTTGTCGTACTGGATTCTATTGCCCTGGAGATGGACGGGAGCTTCCTTGTGGAAAAGCCTCCCCTACTGACTATTCCTTTGGTGCTGCTAAAGAATGCAGCCCCTGCCCTGAGGGATGGGTAAGTTATTCTTGGAGCGTGTGCTAAGGAATGTCGTGTTTAGTCTGGGGGTATTTGCGTTCCGAAGGATGGTAATTTTGCCCCAATGGCTCTTTGTTCTGAGGGATAATCATGAGTCCCGGGGGATGAGAAAGACAATATTTTGTGTTGCTTGTAATAAGTCATAAGATTATAAGTATAGTTTGACTAATAATTTTCGTTGTCCGTTTTCAGTTGTGCAAAAATGGGACTGCGTTACCTTGTCCTGCTTATACCTACGTCAAGTGTAACACAACGGTAAGATAACTCGCCTGTCACGTAAAACAAATTTGTAGGGGATGGCATAACACATAAACCTTATAACAAATGTCAATTGGTAGGATAAATGAATTAAAGAATGTAAAATCGAAGATATAGGCAGTATTTGGGTGGGAAGGGACGAGATGGAAAAATTGATTGGGATAAATTGATGGAATTGATTGATGGACTGAATAAATAATATTGTGAAAGGAATCTTTTCTTCTCTTTCCCTTCAGTGGTGCCCTGATCAGTGTTTTCCATGCGAGAAAGGAACCGTTTGCTTTGAGGGAAAGAAATACGACTGTCAACCAGGAACCTACAGCGATGGAACAGGTAAAATAAGAAACGAACTTAAATCAGCTGTGTTCATGAAAGACACATAAACCATCTAATAGCAAATCAAGTGAGCCCGCTGAACATACCACTGGTCATGATTTAAGGACAAATAAAGGACGTTTTCTGTGCTTCGTTCATTAGTAAAGCACACAAGAAGTGCCGAAAGCAAGAAGATGTTCAATGAATGAGCAAGCCAATATTGTAAGGCGCATAGGGAGGTGAAATATGATAGTTATCACTAAGTGTGGCGATTATACTTGTGCAGGATACCCATGCAAGATCTGCCCTCCTGGGAGCTTCAATAACGAGACCAAAGCAGAAACATGTTACTGTTGTCCTGATGGCTACAGTAGTACCGTCATGAAGACCTCTTGCCGTGCGTGTCTGTCTACAGAAACAGCCACTCACTACACATTCCCTAACTGCTCTCTTTGTCACACATGTACTTCAGTAGCAGAGTGTAAGTATTCCTTGTAATAGTCAATGGTTTCTGGGTTTGGTATGGTATTAACGTTTATACCGCACAGTTTTGGTCACGCATGGTCACTGTCACGCATAGCCAATGTCACGCATAGTTATGGCACTGACAGAATTCCACAATAGGCCATTTCACGGATCCCGTTACTCAGCCTCAGCCTCGTCAGCGTGTAATTATTCTTTATAATTTGACTACAGTCCGCAGTAATGAAAAGAATTTACACATCAACGAACAATTGAAACACCTAAAAATTTCACAGGTTGTAGGCAATTTCTAAAGAATATATTACACACTGACGAGGCTGAGGTTGAGTAACGGGATCCGTGAAATGGTCTATTCCGTTACGGTCTTAGTATTTTAAGAATAATTGCATGGTGCAACAGAACGCCATAATGCTGACAGGTGTACGGTAAGACGTTATTGTTCTATTAATCTTTTTTCGTGACACCAACTTTAGATTAATGAAATTAGCGATGAAGCTTCTTTTGGTTGTGGAAAATATTGACCATCTCCTCCAGGGTTTCTCCAACCAAACCATTTTTAGTAAAAGAGTGTTCTCTCTGTTGTATTTTGTTTACCAGGCCAGTGTCTCGCCAATCCTTGTGCTGAGGGAGTCACGTGCCGCAACAGAGGTGTTGGTAACTACACGTGTGAAGGATGCCCGAATGGATTCACAGGAGATGGGAAATCATGCAAAGATATCGATGAGGTAAGTAACATATGTTAAAATTAATAAACGATTATCGATATCCCCCAGCTTGATTTAGACATTAGCATTGTACACTGTTTCTCAATGACTATTTCATTCGGTAGTGTTTCTTCTTTTTTTTTGGCGTTGTCTGGTTTTCATCGCCGCCATGAATTTTACAAACAAGTAGGCGAAACTAGTAGATCTTTAGGTACAAGAAAGAAAGAACATCAGGCGGCAGTTCGCCTTCAAAAAGTGGACAAGTCTGCCTTGGCTGTCCATGTGAATGAGACAGGACATTCCATCGACTGGAACAGTGTAAAAATCCTATCAAAAGAGTCGAAATGGAATCAGCGGAAGTGGTGGGAGGCACGCAGTATAGCAAAGGATAAGAGCACCTTATTCAATCGAGATAGTGGTAGAATTTTACCAGGAAATTATATTTGCTTGCTAGATGATTGATTGTGACGTTTTTCATTTCCCTGAGGATGGCCGAGTAGGCCGAAAGCTCGAAACATATTTATTAAATTAATGGTTGATAAAACGAACTATTTAAGCAATAGAAAACTTTTTCCGTGTTTACATAGCCTGATAGCAACACGAGGGGAGGTTGGGAGAATTCGAGACAGTTATACAAACCCGAGACGTAGTCGAGGGTTTGCATAACTGTCGAGAATTCTCCCAACCCCCCGAGTGTTGCTATCAGGCTATGTAAACACAGAGAAAAAAGTTTTCTATCGCTTTTATAAAATAAATACTAAGGGAAAACATTACCACTTGCAAGAAAATAAATCTTTATTTGAATTTGATTCTCATATCAAAATACGAATTCTCCATACATCACGAACTTCGATCGTTAGCCAATCAAATTTTGTGTAATAAACGCCAAGGAGGCAAATGTGAAGCGAGAAAGAATCGCTAGCTATTTTAAACATTTATCATTCTAAAACTTTAAAACAAATACAAAGAAATGTCCAAAGATTGAATAGAAATCTTAATAAAAGATTTCAGAATTGATTATCTTTACAAAAGTGATCAAAAGTGGATAACAAGTGTCACTGTGAATGGAATTCTCGGTTGAAAGAAACGTGGTTTTGCTTAATTTGACAGCGAGAAAACATGGCAACGAAGTTGATTGTTTCGTCTTGCCTCGAGAAGATATTTTGTGGAGCTGAAGAGCTATCGCTGGAAAAAGTTTGAAGCTGCTGACTGTTTCCTTGAAATACTTGTATTCTTTATCGGGCGGTGAATTAAAATCATGAGAAAGCACGTAGCACAACCGCAGCTGTCCTGACGGAGGACGTGTGTTGTAGCTCCTTTGGGAATTCTCTTTGCGGTGACCAACGAGAGATTGTCATGATATTACGATCAGAAAGACCTGCATGAGACCATAGGGTTATGCCTGTGGCCCTGACCCAAGTCAAAATTTGGAACTTCGTCTTCAAAATACTTTTTTGGGGGCGTTTTTTTCCTCGAAAGAAACTGTAAATTTTTAATTTTTGAACTTGTACCGGGAAAACACGAAAGTTGTGACGTCACAACTGYGTTTACATACCCTCATGCAAACATGGCTATCAACCAATCACAGCGTGCGTACTATTTAATTTATTTTATAATATGAAGTTTTTCATAGTTTCTTTTGTTATATCAGCCAACATGGCGGCCTTGCCTTTATGTTGTTTCATTTTCTTGGGTTAGATTGCTCCATACCTCTTTCAAAAACAAACCTACAATGAACAAGTAACTAACCCATGTCCCCATTGTATCAATTCCAGTGCAGTATTGTATTTCCTTGTTACGATAACAACACGTGCGTCAACCTGTCTCCTGGTTACCGCTGTGGTGGTTGTCCAGCGGGTTTCCGTGGTAACGCTCCTTCAGGGATTGGTGTTGAATATGCACGAAACCATAGGCAGACCTGTGTGGAGATTGACGAGTGTACAGAGGGTGCACACGTCTGTGATCCCAATGCACAGTGTATCAATACTATAGTAAGTACAAAGGCTGCAATCACGATAATGATGTTGATGAAAATATATTACAATAATAATATGCATGATGGTGTTGAGGATGATGGTGATGACAATGAAAATGAACATCATGATGGGGATGATACATGATGGTGACGGTAATGTTGTAATTGTTGATGTTGATGGTGATAAGATTGAAGATGAAGGTGATGACAATGATGGACGATGGGTGATGGTGATGACGATGATATATGATGATGATGTTGTATGATGCATGATACATGATAGAGTGCATTTTCCCGTGAAATAGTATTAACTAACTGGTACAAAATAGCACCAAAGAAACAACTGAAAACAAAAGAAATAGATGTCTTTAGTGCTATTTAGTTTTAGTGCTATATATGGTTTGCACTCTAATGATGATTTGCGTAAAGACAGTGTTTATAATTATAACGATGATGGTTATCATTTTGGCGTTGGCGTTAATCTAATTATAAACAACATTACAACACAATGAAGCTGCTGTTTGTTTTTTAGGGAAGTTATAAATGTGGATACTGTAATCCTGGGTTTATTGGTAGTGGTTACGCCGGCTGTGTACCTGGTGACTTTTGTACCAATGGAACACACACATGTCACGTGAACGCCAAGTGTATACAGACTGCTGCTGGCAAATATAAGTGTGTGGTAAGCAACAAGGGGTCTTTTTTGGTGTAGCAAGCTGTATTGTAATCTGGGTTAGGGTTTTTGTTTTGCTGGGTATTATTTAGCTTCAAATTCACTATCCTTGGCTATTGGTTTATTGTCTTCATGCTTCAGGTGCACTGCAACACCAAGAAAGAGCAGTAAGAAAATTTAATAAGAAAAGAACTAAGACAAGTTATTCAAAAAATCATTTATTCCGAATCCATGTTTGATTACCATAGCCTTATCTTACTTCATCAAGAAAGGTTGGGTTCATACTGGTCTTTGTACCAAACAAATTCAAATAAGCCACGGGAGCAAAGGAATATAAAGTTAGACCCGAATTTAGCTGCCCCAAGCTTATGGGTTTTTGTAATCATTTAGTACCCAGCATTTATACACCTTTGTGGACAGATGCACCGTGAGGAGTTTAGCCCATTTAAAGCACTACCTAGCTCGCTAGAGGTATATTAACCGATATTTATATACATTGTGTTTTGTAGTGTAAAGACGGGTTTGGTGGCAGTGGAGAGGAATGTAACCCAGATCCTGATTTCGACATGATTCCTGATGATGGTCTAAGTTGTACGCTTCCTAACTGTAGACAGGTATTATATGAATCAGATTTAGGGAATCGTCAATGCTTAGCGTATGTAGATTGTGTTCTGGATGCACGCTTATAGTTGGGAGAGCACGAAGGTAGCGCAAGAATTGCACTTTAAAGCCTAAAAGGAATTTATTTGGGGGAAGAAAACGTGCGAATTGTCTCGCACGATTGTGGTGTTACAAGGAAAATTTGTTTGGGACGGCTTCCAGTACGAGAAACGTTCATTTTCCTGCTACTTAACAATGGTGCGTTAGTTTGCTCAAATTTGTGATTGCCCCAAAACAAAAACGTTATTAAACCGTATTCGCCTTTTTGATTTCAACTTTTTTTAAGAAAATGATCTAAAAAGCATTTCGTATTTTTAGGATAACTGTCCTGTAGTCCCTAACACAGGACAGGAAGATAATGACTCCGATACTGATGGCGATTCTTGTGATGATGATGATGATAATGATCTCATTCCTGATAAACAGGTAAATGTTATTGATTACGATGTACGACCTGCGATAAAGGGTGGAGGAGAAGAATGATCATGGAATTTTGGGAAAAGAAAGGTGTAGGTAAAGCAGTCTGTTGGGGGAAGTCGTGGTCTGTTGGGTGGGAGGTCGTGCTTCAAATCCTGGTCGGACCAGCACTTAGAATTACATCAGCAAATGATTAAATTTTCGCGTGGCCCGGATCGACACGTTAATGGCTGTCCCTTCCCCAGTCAACCAAAAACGTTAAAAGAGGACCACTAGTTTATCAGTTAAATTACTGTCAAGTGTCTTCCTTTAAAAACAAAGTTTGTATATAATTTAAGAAAGAAAAACTTTTCGGGCAAAAAAAGAAAACAAGCTCTTCCCAATAGCTTACATAACATTGTTGTATTTTGCTTTGTTTGGCAGGATAACTGTCAGTTTGAAGCGAATCTAGGCCAAGAAGACCTCGAGGGCGATGGCGTTGGAGATGCATGTGACAACTGCAGGAATGTCACTAATCCAGACCAAAAGGATACTGATGGGGATGGGATTGGGGATGCATGTGACACTGACAGTGATGGGGATGGTGAGTAGTGCTATTGAATTATTAAGACAAAAAGGATACTGATGGGGATGGAATTGGGGATGCATGTGACACTGACAGTGATGAGGATGGTGAGTAGTGCTATTGAATTATTAAGACAAAAAGGATACTGATGGGGATGGCGTGGGGGATGCATTCGGTACTGACAGTGATGGGGATGGTGAGTAGTGCTATTGAATTATAATAAGACAAAAAGGATACTGATGGGTTTGGGGGGGGGGGGGGGGGGGGGGGATGGGAACCCCAAGGGGGGGGGGGGGGGGGGGGGGGTTTTTTTAAAAAAAAAAAAAAAAAAAAAGATGATGGTGGGGGTGGGGGGGGGGGGGGAGAGGAGTGCATGTGACACTCAAGGTGATGGGGAAGGTGTGGGGATGCAAACTGAAATATTTACATTAAATAAATTGTATTCTTAATCTTCCCTTACTAGGAATACTGGATAAAGACGATAAGTGTAAGTACTTGAACGGTAGTGGAGATCAGGTGGATACTGATGGTGATGGTATTGGGAACCTATGTGATAACTGCCCGAACGTGCCTAACACAAACCAGGTAAGCTGGCGCTGCAAAAATGTGATATAACCAAGATTATTGACTGACATATTAAATGATGACGTAATATACATATTTATAATGACGTCATCTAAGAGATATTTTAATGCCGGACTAAGGACTTTAAAGGCTATGACTCTTCACTATGACTCTTCATTAAATTTCTTTTGAATAATGGAAACTGTATTCCCAAAAAAATCTGTTTACTGTGTTAGACATCTTCAGCTAAAGGAAATATTTGTTAACATGAAAAATCAGTATTGCTGGTATTGAAATAAGAAAAGACACGGCGGCTGTGCAAACCATCAATGCTTATTAACAACAATTTGATATTGGATTCGAAACCAAGAAATATACGTATCGAAGTCACCATGACTTCATGTTCAAGTATTTTAATGGTAGTCATGTTCTTAAGATCGGGGGTCTTTATGTTGTAGGCTTTCATCATGTGCTTACCAACAGCAGACGATTCGCGGGTACAAATGTAGAATACACTTCTAGCCATTTGTACCAGCGAATCAAAGATTAAAAATCGTCGCCTGTTGGTTAAGACCCCGATCTTAAGAGCATGTTCACAGTATTGAAGAAGTGCAATGGAAAACTTGACTGTTTGATATTTGAGATGCTATTCATCAGTGAACGTTAAACCAAATCTTAACACCCAGTCTGTTTCGATCCATGCAAAAGTATATATGTAATTTTGCTTGTTTATTAACGAACTTTGAACACTTTAGCTACTGTTCTTTTTTTTGAAATCACTTTGTAAAAATTGCCATTAAAAAGGACGACCATTCAAGTATTTGAAAATGAAGTCATGTTGACTTGGAAACATCGTATATTTGCGTTTTATATTTCTTATTTTGAATTTAAAATCAATATGATTGTTTTGTTATTATTTCAATTATGCTGATTGCATTTAATAATAATGTCTGTATTTACCGTATAATGTAGCTGGATTCAAATCAGAATGGTTATGGCGATGCGTGTGACGGCCCAGGGAAGGACAAGTAAGTTTATCCACACGATACGATACCAGAATGAATTGCGCGATACTTTGAGTGCCAAATATCATGTGATAATTGTACTTATTTTACAGAGACGGTGATGGGGTACTCAATGACTTTGATAACTGTGTTGATCTACCTAATGGTGACCAGGCAGACGCGGATGGGGATAAGATAGGTAACCCAATTCTTTTACAGTAGTACAAGGAAGGGGTTAGCCGTTTCTAAAAAGCCGTTAAATAACTTCCTTTTTACTGCATCTCTGTTCTTATATTTATCTTTATAAAAGGATGAACCACCCAATCTACCCCCTCCGCTTTCACCCTGATATCGAAGGAAAAATGCTCTAGTACCTGTCATTTGTTATGGAGAGAATGTCAAGAGAATGACACGTGGTCTAAAATAAGAAAAGACACGCCCAAGCTAAAGAGTTCTACTAACTAAGAAAAATATTTTTTTGTCTTATTATTATTAGCAATAAAACTTTATGAAAAAAATTCTTAACTAATCTTAAAATACTTTAGTAAATTGTTTGAATTCATTGAATGAAGTATGATWGTATTTAATTACTAYGTGAATATMATGTATYAAAATTKTGAAGCGTTGTTGAACTCTTGGAATTAACGCTATATAAATTATTATTATTATTATTATTATTATTATTATAAAAAATCGCAACTATATAGAGTTCAGACAATTAATCCGTGAAACACTAATTACTAAATAGTACAAAATAGTGCTAATTAAACAATAGAAARCAATGGAAYTTGCATGAAATTGTGTTATTTATTATCATTAAAGTTTCACGGATTTACTGTGGACACTCTATAATAGATATTTTGTTGTTTTTTCAGGCGATGATTGTGATGATATCCAAGATGACGATGGGATTACCAATCAGAATGATAACTGCCCACTGGTCAAGAACCCGGACCAAAAACACGATCAAAGAACTTATGATGTTAAAGGTAAAAAAAAATGTAGTTGTGTAGAAACTGATAATGGATTTGTCTCATTGTTAAAAAATACGATAAATAAATAAATACAAATAGTAAGGTTTATTGCAATAGGGTTTTTAAGAAAGAAGTGTGACGTCGAAGGGCAAGAATACCTGTATGTGATGTCAGAGATAAACACATTGTTGTATACATTGTTAACAAGTTTTAGGCCTCCAGCAAAGATGAATACGTGGTTGTTACAAAATAGGTATGACGTCAATTGGGATACCTTGGCTACTTGAGCGTGAATAATCATGTGAAGATTGCCTAGTTACTACGAAAACAAATATAAAATCAGAATTGATTTCTAAGGAGATGTGTCCTTACCATATACCAAGAGATGTGTAAATGTAAGAGCCCTAACAACTGTCATCTCTGCCTATTTTAGCTCGACCTGTTGGTGATGCCTGCATGACAGATTATGATGGTGATGGCGTCGTTGATGATGACGATGCATGTCCACGTGTCAAACACATCAGCAAGACCAGTTTTCTGGATTATTTCACTGTAGACTTGTACCCAGGCCATGGTGATCCTGATCCTGTGTGGAGAGTTGGAAAAAAGGTACCAGCGATTAATGGAAAAAGTTTTTCGTGCAACCTTTTGTTATTATAATTTTTCCTGCTTTTTTGGGAGGTTGTGCTGCTGTTTTTTCGGCATGCTTCTTAAGCCTGGTCCTTAGTGCGACATAGCACAAGCATAAGGATAAGGATCAAAACGTTCCTTTCTTCATATTTTGCTTATGCTTAAGTCATTGAATTTCCCAGTGGGGACTTGCACTCTTATGCTTATGTTTGTGTTTATGTCACTAGTGAGGACCAGGCTTTATCCATACTTAGCTTGCATTCTTCCCAATGACTCTAGAAAGACAACAGCCGTGTCAGTCATATTCTTTAGCACAATATACTGCTTTCTTACGACACATAAAGCATTGGCTCATTTTCATCAAATTTTTGGGTCGCTTCACCTCTTTTATTATTATTATTTAAGGGGGTTGACGTAGAACACGTATCCAATACCACGCATCCCGGCATGCTCATCGGTAAGTAATATCCCATAACTCCTGTATTGTTTTTGTCCGTTTCGCTACGCGCAATTATTATTACTTCTAGCACTTCCCAAGTGATCACTTCTTTTAACGTTCTATTGATAATAGTGATGTAGTTTCATACAAGGGGGTGAATTCGAAATCACGTCGTCTTTCAAACGTATTCTTTAGATGTGGCTTTCCCTTGCTTTCCTTTTCTTTCGTTCCTTTCACCCATTTATTTCTTTAAACCTACCATCCAACCTATAGGCCCTCGCATTCCTTCGCAATGCAGCTCAGTTTATTTTGACACGGTAAAAGCATCTGGTCAAATATGTACAAAAAATATTAGATAATCTAATAATCTAATAAATACGATCAAAATACGTTAGTTACTTAAAAAATAAGTAAAAAAACCTGTTTTCCATGAATGCCGTGCTTAAATAATTAGATTGTGGATTTGTTTAAAAGTTGTCGAAACTCACTAAGCGATTGCGCTTGACGAACTTCGCTAGATAGGCTATTCCATAAAACTGTGCCACTATAGGTAAAGGATATTTTTTAAGATAATAGACCTTTCCCGAATTCGCTTGACTGACCACAAAACAATGGTTTGAAGTCGAGACTAAACTTCATTCTTTTATTCATCAAGTTCAACCTCGACTTGAAACCATTGTTTCGTGACCAGTCAAGCGAATTCGGGAAAGGTCTATTAGTGCGCGGCAGAGGAACAGCTAGTTTGTTAACGGATTTCCGGAGGGAGTAAGAGGTTGTATCATCCCTGCTAATAAATTTGGAACTCAGATAATCGGGAGTAAGGCCATTTAATGATTTGAAAACTAAAATGGCCTTATGTTTTTCTCGCTGGGTATTCAGAGTATTCCACCCTAAAGCTTCAATCAAGTCCCTTGCATGAGTTATCGAAACTGGAAAAAGTCAAAATCCAAAAGGAATCCAAAAGGGATCTATTCCAATTCTTCCTTCTGCACATTCGTCTACCCGTCCGCTCAGCAGTATAGACCCCTCACATGGATTAACTATAGGAAATGTTCGGGGGGGGGGGGGGGGGGGGAAATAGGCTGTCTCTTCTGATGCAAAAGAAATGAATATTGTTTTATTGGCCAGAACAATTCCTGTTGGGACAATGGTTCTATCTATCCCATTATTTTATTAATTCTGGTATATTTTATATTCAGGCGAAACGAGATACGGCCCAGTAGACTATAAGGGTACTATGTACGTCAAGGCGTCGTCAGGCTCTGATTACATTGGAGTCGTGTTTGGCTACCAAACAAACAGGAAGTTTTACGTTGCCATGTGGCGTAAAGAAAATATAAACTTCGCTGATGCCGATATTAACGCAGGAATCAAAGGAATTCAACTCAAAGTAAGAATTCTATGAAATTACATCAACTCGAACATTACAGTTTTAATTCTCTACAGAGCTTTTTCCTGTGACGTTCTCCTTATAAAAACTGACTTCGTTATCCAGAATGGGAAGCAGTTCTCCGAACATTTTTCTTGTAATTTTCCTTAATAGTAAGGTCTGTTGTTGAGAATTCCACTGTTTGCAGGTGGAGAATGAAGATTAGATTAGCTTGGCTTTATCTTAGTTGGTGGTGCATCTACACCCGTAGATGTTCACAAATTCAATCGATTAAGATAAGTGCGATTCTCAATATTTTGGGAACTCAGACATTGCAACGGCTTGTTGTAAAATTGGACTTTCACTGCCGCTAGTCAAAAAGATAAAATGTACGGACTTATTATTTCTGATTGACTGCTGCAAAAAAAAAGCATGCAGCTTGCAGCCACTGAGTGCGCATAACATTGGAAACTGCTAGAAGTTGGTTAAAAGTAACCTTGTTATTTGCATGTTTTAGTTGGTTGACTCGAACACTGGTCCTGGCAAGGCTCTTGCACAAGCCTTATGGCACTCTTCAGACACGACAAATCAGGTAAATATCTAACGTTTTAAACATAAAAGAATGAGAGTAGAGGTGGTATTGAGTGCAAATAAGCGTCACAGTCATGAAGCATGTAACGAGACATCTTGAACCAAACCCGTTGCGCGAATGACACGGTTACAGAACACTACTCTAGCTTACTCTGCAACCTTTTCCGCTCGGAATGTGCACGTATAGTGAGTTCAACCGTGCAACAAACTCCTTTTCGAATGTTGTTAATATTTATTCCTAGAGTACAGTTCTTTGGCATGATCCAAAGATGGCGGGCTGGCAGCATCAGACGCCATACCAGTTCCACATCAAACATCGACCATCTGTTGGTATTATCAGGTAATACTTTTAGTCCACGCCTAGCTTCTGGCTGGCTTCGAATTTATTGTCAAAAATATTACAAATGATAGAATATCGTATGTAAAATCCCTTTTTTGCAACAATGAAAACATCAAAACTGAGATCGTATTAAGATTTTCACTAAAATACATTGCAGGCTAGATTTTCACCAAAGTAAATGACCCGTGCAGACCACGCTTTCTTCCTTCATGGATTATTATCTTTATTTTGAATCATCGAAGCTAAGACCAAATTAGTTATTCTGGGTAAACAGTTTTAATGACTTAAATATTAGGCATAATGCAGTCTTGCCGCTTTTGAAAATTGATTCAAGCTACCAAACCAGGCATTTTGTTACTCTTCATGCATGTGTCTGTATGTAAACAATCTTCAAATGCCCAGGATATCGACTACCCAGAAAATTTAACGGTTTTAGCTTCGATGAATTAACCTTTTCAAGCCGACAACGTTTTTTCAATTTGCTGTGTACTCTTATTGATGATAGCTGGAGGCAAATCAACATACTTAATCAATAGTTTTTTTTAACTCTCCAGGTTACCTTTATTCCGTTATTTGATATTTCTTTGAAAATAAACCCTGGCAGTGACCATCCCCCTTTTACTAACCACCCGTATCCTGATTGTAAAGTACCTTTGAGTATACACATTGAAATGGTAATATACAAATTATAAATCAAAATTGCATTTATATAATCAATCTCCTATGCATTCTTATCCTAGGTTGAAGATTTACCAAGGACCAAAGGTCCTCTCAGACTCGGGGGATATCTTCGATACGCATATCACCGGAGGTAGACTGGGGATGTTTGTCTTCGGTCAAGAGGACGTCATCTGGTCAAGGCTGGAAGCCAATTGTGCTGAAAGGTATGACATTTATCCAAAAATATGAAAAAATAACGATAAACTACACACTTTCAGCCAGAATTGAAGCCAGTTCTCATGTGTCGTTCTGGTGGGCTTAAACTCGTGTGGTTTGAAATTATCGTTCTAACGAAAGACTTGGCTACCATGCTGGTTATATATCAAAAGAAACCATTAGATGTTGCGAAGTATGGAAAGACGTAAACGTATGGCAAAAGAAGTTTCCATTATGACCATGAAAAGAAGCTAATTATACACTTGAAACAAACCAGAGTATCGGCTGTGAAAATAAGCAGCATTGATTTTCTTTTTAATATTTTTGTATGACATTTATTTCAGAGCTAACAAAGCACTATTTTTCGACGGGACTGCCGATTACGTACAACTTCCTTCAATTGGTCAGTTAGGCTTATTAGAAAGGTATATAGACGTTTAGACAAGCGTATTTTCGCTGTAGCGTTCTTAATGAACCCAGAGACCTAATATCGTTATTGAGGGACCCAGGGACCCTTTATCGTTATTGTGGGACCCAGGGACCCCTTATCGTTCTTGATGGACCCAGGGACCCTTTATCGTTATTGAGGGACCCAGGGACCCTTTATCGTGCTTCATGGATCCAGGGACCCAATATCGTTCTTGAGGAACCCAGTGACCCATTTTTGTTCTTGAGGAACCCATTTTCGTTCTTGAGGGACCCAGTGACCCATGTTCGTCCTTGAGGGACCCAAGGACCTATGATCATTCTTGTGGAACCCCCAAATATGGATTTCATTATCCATTGTCAATTAAGGAAATGTTGAGCAAGTGAGCTTAAGACCCTTGATTTCGACTGAGAAACGAGACAGAACATCGACGACTTTTAATACTCCAGTGTATTTATGCTTAGCCTCACTTCTGAGGTCCGTAAATAACAGCAAAAATATCAAAACAAGCAACTCCTGGATTCGAGGCAAGCCCGCATGCACTGGATTTTTAAGAGTCTACAATTGGCTTTAATCAGTCACAGAATTATTGCATTTCTTGTATGTTTTCAGTTTTACCATCACAACATGGATCAAGATGGCTACCAGTTACCCTCTCACCAATCAACCTATTATCTGTACACTGGATGCTACATTGTGCTTGTATCTCAAAAACAGGTCATTCCTACTTTTTTTATTAAACAAAGCATTCTTTAACAGTATACATACAAAGTTAAAACAAACACATACAATTAACAAAGAAAAAGGAAAAAAACAAGTAAATAATTATTTATATAAGGGCACTACATCCAATACAAAAAAATGAATTAAATAAGTTAAATAAAAGCAAGGTGTTTGTCCCATTTATTGCTGTGAAATTCAGTTTCTTTCTTTTTCAATAGCAATCCTACTTAATAATGTAATTTTATTGGGGTAGGGATGGAATCACTGGACAGCTTTTTTTTCCCTCTCTCTTTAGCTTTTACTTTACTAGCTTACCCTTATTGCGTGACTTACTTTTGTTGCGTGACTTTTATTCCTGTAGACTTATCTATGGTAACGTGGGGTCCGTAGTCACGGCAGGAACAGAAGCCATCGAACCTGATGAATGGCATCATCTGGCCTTTAGATATGACGCACAGAGTAAGTATCATCTTTATGGGGTCTCTCCTCTGCCTCCTTTCATAAAATCTAACACCATCAATTTACAGGCTGTTTTCAGGATATCGATAAAATCGATGCTCAGCTTTACTTTTGTGATGTTAGATAATATCAATGTTTCAGTGACGCATTGTTGTCTTTAACTCGACCAGGAAATATTGTCACTCTCTTCGTGAACGGCTCTTCTGTAGGTTCAACCACTAATGTACAGAAGCCATCATTGGTGAGCAGCGTAAACTCTTCTACTTATTTTTCTGATTTACTGAAATGAATAAAGTAAAAGTAATTAATAATTTCGCCGTATGTTTTCAACAGACGCCAAGCGCCGCTCTTTACATTGGAAAAGATCAAACACATTACTTGGATGGAACTCTGGATGACGTAAGTAATTATAGCTGCCATGAAAATAAATGGTGACGTAATGACGGTGAAAATTGAGTATGATCGTATCAATTGTTATGTTATTAATGGTCAAGAAGGTGGTGACGTCATATAGCGATAATGATTACGTCTATAGTATAAGCCTTTTCATAGTTTAAGAATCGATCCCACTGCGCATGTGATTTTATCCCGAATTTCTCACCTTCTTTTGACTAAACCTTCTTTTGTTCTTAATTAAACAAAAGAAGGTGAGAAATTCGGGATAAAATCGCATGCGCAGTGGRATCGATTCTTAAACTATGAAAAGGCTTATTGTCGAACTGATGATGTGATTACTCAGTGTGTTACTATAGTGATCGATGTAATTCCGTGATATATCTATAAGGGCATTAAATCTCATGAATCGCATTACCAGAAGTCAGTGAAGCGCAAACACTGTCTTCCTGCTCATCCATCCAGGTGATGCCATTCAGCTTAAAAAAATTGCCCGCTGAGACTACCGTTTATTGATACCAACCCAACCTATCCGTGTCTTCTTTATATGATAGGCCACACTGTGGGGTATCCAAGTTTCTGATGAAGAAATCCAAAGCTACATGAAACTAGCAGGCCTGCAGTGGCCCATCCGCAACTACCTTGTACGAGCCCATTATGACATGGAGGACCTTAAGGATTCTGTCTTGTTGGACAGGTCAGGCAATAACTTCCGTGGCAACCTGTTTGGAAAGCCAGACCTAATACCGGTAAGTATGCCCTGAGATTTGAGAATATTGAAGTGTAACAGTCTTTTCACGATCCTAGTTGAGTGGGTCACGTGATTTGTACTGTGAAACTGGACTCCTCAAACTTTTCCAAGAATTTTTGGCAATTTGTGTAAAAAAATTGACATAAAAGTCGATAGAGCTATGGCCAATATTCTTTCAGTTTTTTGGCAACCTTTGTGCAAAGCCTGTAGTCCCCTCCAGATGTGCGTGATTTGCCTCTTAAGTTAATAGAGCTCGATTCTTAACAGTCTTTGGAACCGCAGTGGAACACCTTTACGACCTACGACCTATAAAAATTCAATTGCAGATATTAGAGTTACACTCTTGCCTTCAAACAATTGTTTCAAGTCGAGCATTTGGGTAAATACAATAAATGTATATAGTTGCCCACTACCCACCCCCCACCCCCACGTCCCCCCCGTCAACTCTAAAAACTCACGTAATTGATAGCAAGCAATTACAACAATTGCTTGAAGGCAGTAGAATGTAACTCTAATATTTGCTATTGCCAGCTAGTTTTCTATTGTTCGCTGAGATCTAGTCAGAAAAAAGGTTTATACTTAGTGTTCTTTTACCTTTCAGAGTACCGTGGACAAGAACCGTTTTTTCGTTACTTACCCACATAACAGACGGCGGCGTAGCATCCTGTCACCATGGCAACACACTGAACTTTGATTGAATAGTGCCTCCCAAGGAGCTGGGTATACTGTGGGCTATTTTGAAAGGATTACATAAAACAACAACCATACGCCAGCAGCTAGACTAAACAAACAAACAACAACAACAACAAAACAATCTTTAAAATGTAGTTATTCTATAATTAATATAGTTCAGTATATCTCCCAAGGAGCTGAGGATACTGTAGGCTACTTTGAAAGGATCACATAAAACAACAACCATACGTCAATAGGTACAAACAAACGAACAACAACAACAAAACAATTTTTTTAAATGTAGACACTTTCAAAGTCAGATCGTCGAAAACGTCCCTTCTTATTTGATTCTTATTTGAGAAGGACATCATTCAAAAAAATGTAATGAAGTCAGGATTTGACGACATCCATGACACTCTCCACTTCAAAACACTTGTAAAATAAAGTTGATATACATTGGTAGTTATAATACAAGATATGTATTTATTGTTTTAGAGCTTTTAAGATGTGACGTATGTCCGGATCCACTGACTTCTCATTAAAACTTGAAATGATAAAGCGAAAAAGGTTTTCAATTAATTAATCGCCATCTCAAGCAATTAGAAATTAAATTAAGACAACGAATCCTCTCATGAAGAAAAAGGCAAATGAAATATTTTTGTTTTGACCCCGGAAGTCGCTTTCAATACGATGGAGGTCACACTTAAAAACTCTATTAGTCTTTAGTCTTTCAATATGCCACCGTGTCATCGAACATAATGGCGGCTATTGTCTGTATTTTTTCTTCTTTAATAAAGATGATTTTTTGTTAAGACCTCTGAATTGATGAATTGCAAGCATTCCCAAGAAAGTCAAAACACAAAAACATGGCGGTCATTGTGGTACCGTTAACAATGGATGCTAATGAGAAATCTTTCGTTAAATGGTACCAAAATGGCCGCGATGACGTAATGCGCAAACGAAGAATAAATTTATTTATTTTGTTTATTCATTCTTTATTTCATTTATTAACTTTACATCTAGATATTTTAAAATCTAATTGAGGGCATGGCGAACAGGACAAGAGTCCCATGTAAAGACCAGCCTAACAAAAAATACACACTAAAAGAAAAAAGGAAAAACTAAAGCAAAAATAACAATATAATGTACAAAGTTAAGAACAACAATTTGGATCATAAGAGCGGCACTTCGAACAAAAAGATTTCCACTTACGCATTCTATTGACATCAAAAGTAGAGTTAAGTTTAGAAAAGTAACAAATTGTTGAAAAGTGCCAAGTTCAAAGTTGTCCTGTTTGAAATAATGCATTAGAGTTCAAAAGTCACATTGCATGTTTCCATGGCAACTGAATTGTTTATGTGTTAGTATTGACACATCGTAGTCTCTGCTAAAGTTTAATGTCAAAATATCACATAGTTAAGGAGATAAACCACCCCCTCTTGATTTGTATCAGACATCTTGACCCATGCCTTAATTAATAATCCTGAGTCGCTGCACATGACGTCACTTCCAGGTTTCCATCGGCCATAGGCTAGGAAAGAGCCAGAAGTGTACGCCTTGTCACTGACTCAGAAGCTTATGCCACCACTGCAGATCCAGGTGAAATTTCCTGTTCAAGCAAATTGGGTGATCCATCTTGCCAAACGGGAAAGAAGATTCATCATCTGTCGAATGAAATACCTTCCACGCCAGGCTACTTTGAGCTGCATGGTGGTCTTACTGCATGGGGCCAAGCTACAAAAACTACTTTGAATAAACTCTTATTATTACAAAAGCAAGCTATGAGATTGATCTATTTTTCTGATAGAAGAGAAAGTGCTATCCCTTTTTTTCCAAAAGCTAACATACTTCCCTTAAACTTACAATACTTGAAATCTGTCTCTGCTTGATGTATGATGTTGTCAATGAACTTGCACCACTAAATATTTGTAAATTGTTCTCCTTTGTAAGCAGTATTCATTCTTATAATACTAGATCTTCTGCATCTAATAATTCATATGCAAAATACTTTCAAACTAATCTTCAAAAGAACTCATTTTCTTGTTTTGGCGTTCAATTGTGGAATCGAATTCCTAATTCTATAAGGGACTTATCAAAACCGGCTTTCAAAAAGTTGTTATTTAAATAAATATGGCTATGATGTTGAAATCTCCAATCTTTTTTCCTCAAGATAAAATAGTGCACGATATAATAATGTCATTATTTGTTCTAAAGTCAATATTTCTTTCTTATATGCTATTAATTTATTTTCTTGTATGTAAACATTTAAATTTTTTCTTCTTTTTTTCTGTTAAACACAAACTTTAACTATTGTAAATTATCTTTAAATATTAATAAATTGTAATTATAATTGTAAAATTGTAATTGTTACCAATCAAGGACACTATTCTTGTATTTTACACCACTGCGGCTGACACCATTGCTCTATACAAAAAGGCTTTAGGGTAGCTAGCTTCCTCGAGCTATGAAGAAATAAATTTAACCTCTAACCTCTACAGCAGCTTCCTAAACTTTTCCCCCTCTTAAATCACCTTGAACATCATGATCAAAACGAACATTTGGACAAACTTTGGTGCTTATTCAATACATAACCACTCAGATACTTTTCTTAGGGATGATTTAACCCCTTCCCTTGGTAAACAGGTAAAAGGTAAAGGCATTTATTTTACTTAGATAACGCCCAATTCTCCCCAGCCAAGGGCTAATGTTTAATACGCTCGAATGTTCGCCCTCTACCCCCTCTTACTATTTCCTTTTATGGGTATTTAAAGCTAATTAAAGCTACACAGAACAGAGAGAAGTCGAAACAGACGTGGAGTCCCAGAGGATCGAACAAAGATCTAGCACTGAAGGCCGCGCATGGTACTAACCCGCTATTCGAGGTTTAAAAGACGGCGAAATCGTTCGTGGTTGAAAGTGTGTTGTGCTTGCAAGATGGCGGCTTTGACTTTCCTCCCTTGTAAAAGTAAATACACGTATCAACGACATTAGATACCATAGGGGAATTATATAGAAAAACAAACGTTAAAAAATGTTGCATGTTTGCTTGCTTGCTTGCTTGCGTACTTTTCTTGCTGGTTTGTGTGTTTATTTTTTGTTTTGCTCTTTTTCACTATATTGAGGACATTATCTCGACTTTTAACACAAAAATAATTAAAGCCGATTTTTTCGGGATGTTTTTTCACCTTTCACTTTGATCTAAATTGGTGCTCCCTGTGGGTCTACAATGTCGACAGAAATTACATTTCATTATAAATAGTTGCTCGAGTTTCCAATTGCGTTCTTGATTATACATACTGTTACGCAGTTAAGCATGAAGAATAAGAGAATAAAGAATAAGGGATTAAATAGATATGCACGTGAAAATTGGGATTACATCACCAGCTCTATATAAGAAATGTTAATGTAAAAATAAAAGAGCAGCAGTTAATACTTGACGGTAATGATGAAAAGGTAAATTATACACCGTGAAAAGATGAAAAAAAACTTACTGACGTTTCGGACGCTAGTCCTTCGTCGAAGTAAGAGAGAAAGAGGTGGTAGAAAGGAGTGTATATACTGTATATAAAGGAGTGTTTTCAGCTAGTTATATCTTCTTATTAATACTTGACGATTCGTTGACATGGTTTTGGGCCCGACGCTAGATTGTCATAGGCAGAGTGACAGATGGTACAATACATTTCTTTATTTCTTAGTAATAAACAAGGATCATCTAATTGATTTTTTCGTAGTTTCTAGTGAACTCTTGAACGTTCTTTTGAACTGAATAATTTCAATTTGTGATGAGTCAATGATTGATGTTCTGAGTTATTGCTTCAACGTTGTTTACCTAAAATATTTCAATATTTTACGCTTCATATTATTACACCATGACTAATAGCACCAGTTATTGGTAACGGGAGAAGCGAGAAGTGTCTCTCAGGTTCAGAGATCAATCTTAAAATTCTTGATGCATTTCGATTTGATTCTCTTCGATTGAAAACAACAAGAATCAGAAGGTAGTTGTCTTATAACATTTTTTCTCGTTTCTAATCTGGCGACTTGCATGTTTAATAAATTGGGGATTCTCTTTGATGGAAAACATAAAATAGTAATGATAAAAGGGTAAATTATACACCGTGAAAAGATGAAAAAACTTACCGACGTTTCGAACGCTAGTCCTTCGTCGGAGTAAAAGAGGAAGAGGTGGTAGAAAGGAGTGTATATATGATAGAATAAGACAAAAGAAACCCATGAGAACAAGGTGGGCAAGGAAACGAAGAAAAAAACAATATAAGACAAAAGAATGGGTTATAGTTAAAAGCAAAGCGTTCATTTATCCCGTTGGTACTAAGAGTGCCCAATAGGTGAATAAGGTGAATAAATACCTCTTATTCACATCATATAAAAACTCCTCTCTACCACCTCTTTTCTGTCAACTTTATCATATATTTTATGTCGTTATATATATTCTATTTTTCTTTCTGAATATGCTATGATAATATAAAAGTTATAGCTAAGATTTCTTTTACTCGCTTTGTCATTTATTTTTGATGCGCATATTGAATATTTAATATCTAAGATTAACTCTCGAATACATTTACTTAAAAGGGCCAAAGATTATATTCCTATCAACTACAGAACTATATTGTATAACTCTCTAATTAAGCCATTGTTTGAATACTGCTGTACGGTTTGCAGAAACTGTTCTATAGACTTACTGTCTAGGGTACTGACTCTCCAAAAACGCTGTGCCAGAATCATCCTAAGCGCATACTTTACTTCCAAATCAACCAGCCTATTTGAAAAACTCAAATGGATTCCCATAGGTGATATTATTCAATTCAAGAAACTGTATATGCTATTTAAAATTGTTCATCAAAAGTGTTCTGCATATTTCTCTAAGTACATAAACTAATGCTTTTTGCATTAATAAGTTTAATACCAATAAAGTCATTGTTATTATTTTTATTAGTGTTTTATAATCTTTTACATCTATTTTCACATGTGTATTTTTTATTTTGTTTAACTTTATTTTTCTATTAATCTATGTTTCTATGCTACTCTTTTCAACGTTTGCAGATTTCTCTCATTGGATATTCTGGGGTTTTTTCTTAGTCCACTAAACAGCAAGCCGTTTCCAGCACAAGAAACAGTCTATATAGCCATGAAACTAAAAATTAATGTGACAGAGTTTTTAAGTCTTCAAGTTCTAACTGACAACGATATTACGTTTGCTTGCGGTTTGACAATAGCAATAAGCATCGTCATACTCATCGCTAACACCATCGCTTTGGTAATCTTCAGTAATAGATCTCTTCGATCGAAAAAGTCAAGTTTATTGTTGATGAACATGACAGTTGCTGATGGGTTGGTTGGCTCAACCTCGATAGTGCTGTGTATTTCTCACATTGACTACTTTCTCGAAGGCGACCCCTCAGTTATTTATCTTCAATTGTGCTCCATCTTTCTTTTCCAATTGAGCATAACCGCCTCAATTATATCTCTCTCGGCTATTTCTATTGAGAGAGTCATCGCTGTGTGTTGGCCATTTTCCCATCGACTTGCACGAAAACAACATTACTATTTGGCTATTGGGTGTGTATGGCTGCTTGCCTTTGGGGTTCCAGTGTCCTTCCACCTCTATATCCGTGATATCTTGTCCCCTTTCATTGCTCGTTTTATCACTTTTACGATCGTAATCGTATCTTGTACCACGATACTGATATCATACTTGTCCATTTGGATCAAGATTAAATTCTTCACGAAGATTCAACAGTCAAGGACCATGCAAGAAAACAAAAACCTGGCCAAGACACTGTTTATTGTAACA